TCCTCCTCCTCCTCCTCCTCCTCCTCCTCCTCCTCGGGAGCCCGAGGGTACCGATACCTTTGCAGTATTCGGCCTGACCTAAGGAACGATAACTCAGGAACGAAGCCCCCTGTGCAAAGGAAGCCTAAAGTAGCGATAAATCAGGAACGACACATCAGGAACGGCAAATCAGGAACGATACATCAGGAACGAATCCCAAGTAATTAAATCTACGAAGTCCGAAGGAACACCAGGGGGACTCGCCACCAAAAAGGTAGCGGAACGCATTCAAACCAAAAGAACGACCGAACCCCTTTTGAAATGTAAGTGTTTCTTATTCAAGCCGGACCCTGTGCTCCCGAGATCGTTCCCGGGGTGCGTTGTGACCAAGAAATCGAAGCGAATCCAGCGTCGGCCACTCGCCGCACCATTGCCCCGACATCCTCCGATCTGACTTTTTCCACTCCGCGGCCCCAGGAGGTCCCGACATGTTCCCTGGGGGCAGTTTCTCGCCCTGGACCTACTCTGCATGGCCCCTGGGCCCGATCACGGCCCCCCGCGGCCGATATCCGTGGGAAGCCGCCGACGGAACAAGGAACACCGTCGGAGATCCGGGCGTGCGCGCCGCCACAGCCCCCTCCCGAGGCCCGCGCGCGCGGGCGGCCTCGTGGGCCACGAGCCGGGTCAGGGAGGAGATGGCCTGCGCCCCGCGCCGGGTGGCACGCACGCGCACGTGGCGCGCGCGACCGCGCCCCCTGCACGCTGGTCGGAAGAAGCGGGCAGAGACATGACGCGAGAAGCCGCTGTGGAGGTAGGTTGTGCTTCCACGCGCCCCCTGCAGAGGACGGAAACGGTGAAGCCACTCGGTCACTGAATTGGGAAGGCTCTTAAGGTAGATTGGAATCTGGGACTCCAGAACTACCTTCTTTCAACACCCGATGGGCACTCGGGTCGAACGAACGGGGAGCATGGCAAAGAAGAACCATAACATCGGGTCACGCAGTTGACTTCCCTGGCGCCTCCCGGCGCGGCGTGGGATGCCAATGTATGAAGCGACCAGTGGTGGGGCCGAAGCCAGCTGCAAGCAGCAGATCTCGTGACATGCCTCCCTACAGTGAAGACGTGTAATAAGGACAGGTGGGAAGGACGTCAGACTCTTGGAGGCCGATGTTTGGATTTTTGGGGCGGCGGGCGACCAAACCCTGAGGGTACCCTGAGAGGCTGGCCAATGGAAACGGCAAAGGACGGGCCGCAGAGGCAAGGACACAAGGGGACTCCCCTAGAAAAGGCGCGCGTCCTTAACATGCGCGTCGACTGTACCCGACCTTTCGTCCGACCCGACCTGCCAGAGGGGACCGGCGGCTCAGAGGTTGAACCCTGAAGGATGGGGCCCTCAGGACGAGGGGCCTCAAACAATGACAGTCCAAACCTGGGACCCCTTCTGATCCTCATATCGAGGCCTCCTAGATGGAGTCGGAGTAGAAGGAGTTGGAGGATCGCGCCACATCGCCGAGATATCGGCGACGCATCGGCGATGCATCGGCGATGCATCGGGGATGCACCAGCGATGCATCGGCGACGTCGTCGGTGCATCGGCTACGCCGGCCGATGCATCGGCTACGCCGGCGCGATCCTCCGACACCATCTTCTCCGACACCATCTAGGAGGTCTTTAGATTATAGGAGGGCCCTACAGTCGAGGTACTACCACGGTGGGTCGAGACCACAAGCAAATCCCGCGACCTAAATCTAAGAGACAACCCACATCCCCGAGCCCCTTCCGAACCCAAAGCGGTCCTTATTTCAGCGTCTTGGCTGTATCCCTCAGGGGCCCATCCTTGAACCGCCGAGGGGGAGGTCCACACCAGCGAGGAGCTCCCGGCCGGCGACAACGGCGGCGAAGGCCCGGGCATCGCGCAGATCGACTTCTGCTCAGTCCCGGCGCCTCTCCCTCGGGCTCGGCCCCCGCGGGCTTGGGGGGGGGGGCGGTGGCGAGCTCCGACGGCTATCAGCTATCAGGCACGTCTCCGGGACGGAAGCCTGCCCCACGGTTATGTTGTTCCCATCCTGCTTAAGGACCACATCCCAGAAATAATTTCGAGCACCCGGAAAAGTGTCGGAAGTGTGTCGAAAGAGTGTCGAAACAGTATCGGGCAAGTGTCTCCCAGGGCCCCACACGTGAAAACCATCGAGTTTCGGTATTTTGGGGGGGGCTCGAAATTCTTTCTGGTGATCTAGGCTAAAGCAGGTTGGAACATCATGACCCCACGTGGGGATGGCCGCGACTGGACAAGAAAGGCACCCCTCCGGCGGACGACCTTGACTCACACAGCAGCGCGATGGGGGGGCCACGATGCCGTGCCACGGCGGGGAGAGCCACAATGGTAGGGAATCCTACAGAAGACGTGCGCGCCGAGCCCACGTACATGAACACGGCCTCCCGTCCGCGGGGCCAGCCGCGCGACACGAGCGTTCGCGCGAACCGCACTCTCGAAACCGACGTGGCTTCATTCATAAACGTGGCGGATTCCCGGAGCCCTGACCCCGAAAACCGTGTTCGTCTCGAGGGGCGCATCGTTTGCTTCCGCCGCCTTCCGCGCCGGCCTTCCGCCCGCATCCGCCGGCGGCGGCGGCGGCCTCGCCTCACTCCCGCCAGCCTCCCGCCGCCCTGCCCGCCGCCTCCCGCCGCGGCAGGGAGGACAAACTCCTTCGACCCTCGAAGGCGAGGCCCTTCTTGGCACGCCCCACAAGAAACCTTCCACAAGACACCCAACCCTGAGACCCCAGGACGTCCACTGACTTTGGTTGTGGGAGTGTCGCGCGTTCCGTTGCAGAACCATCGAAGCCCAGGAAACCCAGGGCCCCTTGGAGGCAAGCAGGGTGTTTTTTGGCATGGGTCTCCACTGTAGTTCATCCTGTCACGGCCTCTCTCACGGACGCAGTTTGCATGGTTTCGCGGCCTCTCTCACGGACCAACGGTGCCAAATGCAGCGCCTTCTGCCCGCATCTGGCACGATCCAGCACGAACGATGGAGAACGTTTTCTTATTCGGCGCTTCGACATCGGGCGGTAGGGGGGGGGGAAGGGGGGGGTCTGGCTCTGGACCTCTGCTCAGTGCGAAAGTTCGCAACCGTGCGCCCTCTAGGGGAGAGGGACTCCGCCTGCTCGAGACAGGCGCCAAAAAACAGCCGAGGTCTGCTCCTTCGCTCCACCCTCGGCTATACGCAAGAGTGACCCTGGGTAAGAGTGACCTTTGGTGTGCGACGTTTGGGGGGCCGCGGGGGGACCAAACCTGGGCGCGCAAGCAACCGCTACTGCTTCGTGTTCAGCCATCTGGGGGCCCATCTGTACCCGCACCAAAGGTCACTCCCGCGAAAGGTCACTCTCACGTCTAGTCGACACCCGTGCACGTCCTCCCCCTCGCTCTCCCGAGAGATGGGGGGGGGGGGGGGCCGCGGCGGCCGGGCCACGAGGGGCCACCCCGAGGTTCGGGGGCCGCGCCGCCCTCGCCGCGCGCGCGGGAAGCACCATGCCCAGCATACCGAAACGACGACCTCGAGATGGCCGTTTGCATACCCAGCAGATATACAACCGAACTCTATTCCACATAAAAAATACACCAATACGATCCCGAGAGACCTCCTCCTCCTCTTCCTCCTCCTCGTGCTCGTCCCTGTCCTCCTCCTCCTCCTCGTCCTCCTCCTCTTCCTCCTCCTCCTCCTTCGCTTCCTCCTCCCCCTCCTAGCCCCTTCGATCAGGGTCGGCGGCACCGGCCGTCAGGCCTCTCCAATATACCAATACGACCCCGAGAGACATACAACCATTGTGCCCATTTCAACCCAGACTTCGATCCAACACAACAGGCCATTTCACCTCTGCGCTGCGGGCGCCACCAGCATGACGAAGACGAGCACCACCGCGAGGCAGGAGCCAGCCCGCAGAATAGGTCAACGTCATCTACGAGGGAATCTACGACGAGGCCCACCTGGAGCAGCACGAACACGAAGGCACCCCAGCGTACTTGAAAAGAACCCCCGCTACGACAATGCCAGAATTGTAAATGAAGGCCGAACCACCATACCCGCGCGCGTGGGAATCTATTCTAAGCCGCTCGAGGCGCAAAGTTCTTATGCCCCAGCGCCTTACCTTGCTTTGGGGCATAAGAACTGATATGGCTGCTGATGTTCCTCTCCGCCACCTCAATTCCGCCGCAGTGGGGCTCGACGTTTCAGCGCTTTCGGTCCCGCGCCCGGCTGCGGCGACGCAAATGGCAGGACGACGACGACGTCGACGACGACGACGACGACGACGCTGACCACGACGACGACGACGAGAAAATCGAGGGTGGGGACGAGGACGACGGCGCGACGCGACCCGGCCAACCAACCTGACGAACCAGACGAACCAGACGAACCAGACCAGCCAGACCAACCAGACCAATCAGACCAGCCAGACCAAGCATACCAGCCAGAACCGAACGCGCCAGACTAACCGGGCCAACCAACCAAACCAATTAAAGGAAGTAGACGAAGCAGACCAGCCAGACCAAGCAGACCAGGCAGACCAATCAATGAGACCAGACCTGTAGACCAACCGATCAGGCCAGACAGACCAGACCAGACCAGCCAGACCAAACAGACCAGCCAGACAAGACCAGCTAGACCAGCTACACCAGCCAGACCAACCCCAACCAGACCAGCTTGACGGGCCGGACCAGCCAGACCAACCAACCAGACCAACAAGACCAGACCAGCCAGACTAACCAGACCAACCAAACGAAGCAGACCAGCCAGACCAACCAGACCAACCACACCAGCTAGACTAAGCAGACAGCAGAACAAGTAGACCAAGCAACCAGACCAGCTTGGCCAGTCGATCCGGTCAGGCAGACCAAACCAGACCAGACCAGCCAGACCAACCAGTCCATCCAGAGCAGACCAGACCAGCCAGACCAGCCAGACCAATCAACCAGACCAGACCACCCAGACGAACCCGACCAGCCAGACCAACGCGACAGACCAACCAGACCAACGAGACCAGCCAGAGCAGACCAGACAAGACCAACCAGACCAACGAGACCAACGAGAAAAAACATACCAGCCAGACCAAGCAGACCAGCTTGACCAGTCGATCCGGTCAGGCAGACCAAACCAGACCAGACCAGCCAGACCAACCAGTCCATCCAGAGCAGACCAGACCAGCCAGACCAGCCAGACCAATCAACCAGCCAGACCAATCAATGAGACCAACCAGACGAAACCAGCTAGACCAACGAGACCAACGAGCAAAAAAACAGCCAGACCAAGCAGACCAGCTAGACCAACCAGACCGACCAGACCAGCCAGACCAATTAGACCAGCCTGGCGAACCAGACCGATAAAGCAACCCGAACCAGACAAACCGAACCAATCGGACGTACCACACCAGACGAACCAGACCAACGAGGTGAACTACTCGACCAACCAGTCGACGCGAGACCAGCCAGACCAGACCAGACTAACACGACCAGAGTAACAAGACCAGGATCGAGGAGCGGCCGCGTTTTTTCTCGACCTGGGCCGTTGTGGAGTACAGCTAAGTAAGCTCCATCGCCGAGCAGCGCCGCGCTGGGGGTCCATGCGTGACCACGTACCCCCCCAGACGGCGCCAGTCTGGAATCGTCAGAGATGGTGATGCTCTTCCTCCTCCCCCTCCTTCTACC